CCCCGCCCCGTCACGTGGGCTCAGGTGAGCGCACCCCAGCCCTGGTGCCCACTCGGGTCACGTGCGCAGGTGCGGCCGCTGCCTGGCGCGCCTCCCTGCCCAGTTACTCCTGTCCCCTCCCCCTGGGGCCAGCGCCCAGTGCTCCCAGCAGCCTCTCCAGGGCGGCTCTACAGCCCTGTCCTGCTCTTTATTTTGCCTGCTACCCTCTTCCACCTGTTTTCTCCACCTGTCTACCCGCTTCCCGGGGGTCCTCTCCCACTTTCCTCACTTCGTCATATAAAGACAGGTTTTGTGGCCGTGATTCAGAAGGTGCATTCTAGGTCTCCAGAGTGGGGTATATTTTAAATTTGGAACTCTAGACGGATTTTAAAAATGCCCCTGGGACAACCTGGAGCTTTGGAGTCAAATGACTCAGCTCTAACACTATTGGCTGGCAGTGGATTCCCAGCAGGGGCTGCAAGGAGTCCCACGGATTGCTCTTTTGTGAAACAGGGATGAGGGTATTTACCTGGAATCATGTGCGGATTAGATGATATAGCAAGAAAAGAATAGCGCATTACCGGTCGTTAAAGGGTAGCTAACATCCTGAGCCATTTTTCTGATTTGTAACACATCACTACTGTATGGACACAATATTGCGAAAGTTATATTTTGCACCCAGAACTTTAATTGTTGACTTGACCTGTCAGAAACTTGATGCCTTTGCGTTTTCCAAACGTAAAACCTAAGGATTCTAGATGTGATTCGATCCTGTCCTTCAACTTATCCCCATTTTATCCTTGGTTTCAATGTCAACACTTTTGTAGGTGAAATGGGAGATTAACTTGCTCAAAGATCAACTGAAGATAAGCAAAACTACACACACCAGCACACATGTCTAGACAAAGTTGGAAAAAAAAATTAGCTAATGTCAGACATTGTCCAGTTGAATCAGATATTGTCTATCAAGCTGAGGAATGGTGTTGAGCTCTATGCACTGGTCAGCAGGTTTTAGTTACTCTTCCACTATTATTTAAATAAATGAAACTCATAGGTGTGGTGGTACTAAAAGGACAGGGTGTGGGTGAAACCTTTTGTGTACACTTCCTCTCATCTCCACCTGTTAGTCATCACTTTGAGGTATTTAATGTGTGCTGTTTGTTTAATTTTGAGGTTTTTTTAAAAAATTAATTTGGTCAGTGAGCCCTTTTGTGTTCAGACCTTGATTGGCAGGGAATTATCTTTCTTTTCATTTTCTGCATAAGAGTGCTCAGTAAGCACTTAAAGAATGTCAAAGAGAAAACCATGTCAAAAAAAAAATTCATTGTGGAGATGCTCAGTATATATGTTGTGTCTAAAATATTCTAGTGGATGAATTTGAAATGATGTTGAAGTTTCCAGAAGTGCTAATGGCTCAGAAGAACTTCAGATGAACTAGTTTTTAAAATTGTCCCCAAAGGAGAAAGTTTTCCACGGTGTTCCTTCCAGCACCCTCCTTGCTATAGCATGTACCCTGACCATGCTACTTTGCCCTCCTGTGTCTATCATGAGCAGCAGAATGAAGATTATCATGGAGTTCTTTTTTGTTGCGTCATATGTGCTTGAAAATGAACCTTCTGGAACAGGGTTCCCTCTTATGATCACTGCAAACGACTTTTTTCTCTTGATAATACCATCTTTCTTCTAATAAAAGTCTTTGGATGAAAGGAAGAAAAGCACTCATCCTCAACCTCCTTCTATCCCTCCATCTTTCTGTCTCTTCCCCCACAATTGACTATGTGCTCTTAATAATTTCACCTTCCTGCTCTTTCTTCATTCATTTCTGTGATTTACTGACCTCTAGCGTGACTTTCTTTGTTCAAAGACTTCCTTTGGACCCCATTTATTGGAATGAAAATTTTACGCTTGTGGCACTTGCAGAAATCTTACTTCACAACCATTTCCTACATCCAGGGAAGTGAAGTCACATTCACACCCACTGTATTGCTGGGAATTTCTCCACTGCCATTCTCTATAAGGACTACCTTGTATTCATATTTCTCCTTCATTGACCTCAAGATGTTTACTCCTGTCTAAATCTCTCACTGAGGCAATCCTGACTTTTCTGGCTTCCCTAGCCAATCTGATGCTGGTATGAGTCCTACATATTTTGCTTTCTATCTTACACATTACTGTTAACTTCATTTGCTGCTTCATATTCTTCACCAGTCTCTTCCCTCTGATTCTGCCATCTTACTGCCCAGAGTTGCTAAGAGAACATCAGAACCAAGACTCTTGGTTCCACTACTGGCCAAATTATCTCACCGTGGTTGGGCCTTAGGGTTACCATTTGTCATTTTCCTCTATTTCCCCACCATTTCTCTTAGTTATTTTTCTTTCACTTATCCCTCCTTTGTGCCTGGCACAAGTAGAATAAATATGCCAACCTACTCTACTGCCTCTTATTTTACAAAAAATTTTAGTACATCTAACCAATAATACTTGTTTCATTGAAAACGCTGCCATCAATCCAGTTATCCAAGACAAATATCTGGGTGTTTTCCTTGGTACTTGCTTCTGGTACCACATATTAAATTAGTTTCCACATTCTGATAGTTCTATCATTTTGTTCTCTGGAGTACATCCCAGAGTACTTAATGAAGTATTGGATAGAGTATTCAGATCAGTTTTGCCTCAGTGCTAGGGCAAAGTCAGTTTTAGATAAAAGACTGCTCTAGACCTATCTTATGAAATTTTATTAAAAGCATCAGGAGGCTCAAACAACTCAAATATTCAAAAATATTATAGGAATAAAAGATGTTTGGCAATCAACAAGATAAACTTCATAATGTCTGGCATCCAATTAAAAATTACCTGCATACAAAGAAGCAGGAACTATGAAACATAATGAAGATATAGTCAATCACTATAAAAAGACCCAGAAATCACCCAGATGGTTTTTCAGTAAGTATAAATTAAGAGTTATTATAATTATATTTCATATATTAAATACAATTTTAACATGTCATGTAGAAACAGTGTTGCATGCCTGTAATCCCAGTGATTTAAGAGGCTGAGGCAGGTTTGTCTCAAATTTGTCTCAAAAAATAAATAAGTTAAATAAAAATAAAAAGGACTGGTTATCCTCAGTACCAAAGGAAAGAAAATAAGACCTAAACTGAACTTCTGGATGTAGAGTCAGTACAGTCTGGGAAAAAAAAAAAAACACTGTGCAGAAATTAATAGCAAATTAGACACTGCAGAAAACAGGATTAGTTAACTTGAATACATAGAAATAGAAACTGATATGAAATACATAGAAGGGGGGCTGGGGATGTGACTCAAGCGGTAGCGCACTCGCCTGGCATGCGTGCGGCCCGGGTTTGATCCTCAGCACCACATACCAACAAAGATGTTGTGTCTGCCGATAACTAAAAAATAAATATTAAAAATTCTCTCTCTCTCTCTCTCCTCTCTCACTCTTAAAAAAATACATAGAAGGAAAAGGACTAAGAAAAAATGAATACAGCATTAATAAAAAGTGGGGTAACATAAAATGTTTGTAATTAAAATCTCAGAATAAGTGGAGAGATGAAAAAAATTATAAGGAAATAAATGATTTGAAAGATATCCAAATATTTTGTAAAATATATCTATAGATCCAATAAACTCAAGGAACCCTAGGAATTGGAAATGTGAGGATCCTATGTCAAGGCACGTCATAATCAAACTGCTTAAAAACAATACTAAAGAGAAAATCTTTAACCATCAAAAGAGACACAGTAGATACTAAGAAATAAAATAAGAATAGCACAATTTCTCATGGGAAGCAATTTAAACAAGAACAGAGTAGAACATCTTTAAGTTACTCGAAGAAACAGATATAAACACCATCAACCTAAAATTCTACATGCAGCAAAAGTATCCATTTGAAAATGAAGGTGAAATATAGACTATTTCAGTTATGGAAAGAGATGAAAAAATTTGATAGCAGCGGGAAATGTACTATAGGAAATAGTGAAGGAAATCTTTGGAGTTGGAAAAAATAAATGCCAGTGGTAATTCACATCAACACAAAGAAATAAAATGGCCAGAAAGGAAAAATGTGTGGTAAATACCAGATATTTGAAATTTAAAGAAGAATAATTTAAATTATAATTGTTTAAAATAAAAGTTGTAACAGTGTACTGTTAAAATTTATAATATACATACAAATAAAATGTAAGACTACAATATCACAAAGGCCTTATGATAGAAAAGCCACATATGTATTTTAAAGTTCCTGTAATTTGCTTGGAGTCCTTGAAATTTAGCATGTGGATTAGACTGTGAAAAATAAAAGATGTATACTGTAAACTCGAAAAACAACAACAAAGAAAAATAGAGTTACAGCTAATAATAAGCCACAAG